TTCGTCAACTAAATGAGCTGAACTTGAACTGTAAATAATTCGACTCGTTAGGTTCATGAGTCAACTCGATTACATATGAGAAGAATTATACTGTCTAACTGTCTTTAAGATTAGGTTTAAATATTTACTCCAAATCTGAGACAAATTTAATCTTCAATTTAGTAGTTTTTGAATTAGCCTCTCAAATGTATCTCTTAAAAGTTGTGTAGGTTTTGAATTAATAGATTTCGAAGATAAAGTTAAATTTTAATATGATAACTTTTATTTTAATATTTTATTTTAAAAAATATATATTTATTTAAAATGTCAAATATACTAAAAATATATATATTTTTAAAAAAATTAGTTTTTAAGTCTGTGAATCATGTGAGCTGAACCTAATGAGATGAACCTAACGAGTTGAACCAAATTGTTCATGAACTTATAACGAGTCGAGTTTGAGCTTAAAAAAAAGTTTGTGTCGAACTCGAACCAATTATTAACGAGTCGAGTCGAGCTGAGGTGAGTTCGACTCGACTCATTTCCAGCCCTAGTTCGATGAAAATTATTATTATAAGATATATATAGATCATTTAAAAATAGATGGCGATTTATATATACTTTTGAATTTGGATTCTAACATAACTATTAAATTCTGAGATGTGATATTTTGAGAATATTATTGCAGAGGATAAGGAATTCGAGATTTTTACAAATGAAACACCTCGTGATGCAGGTTCTCCATTGATTGTTGAAAAACAACGTGAATTTAGAATAAGCAAAAGAGTGCGAAAGACTAAGGATTTAGGATCGAACAAAATTGACAATCAATTTATTTCTTTTATTTAGTATAAGAAAATAATGAGAATTTTGTTCATAAGATTCTTATTATTTTTCAAGTGAAAAATGATCCTAAGACTTATATGGAAGCAATAGATTCAAGGGACTCCTTTTGTTTAGAAAGAAGTAGGAGTGTGTATAGATAATCATTTAATATGAACCAATCCATTTTTACGGTCATGGTTTATAAACCAATTCATTTTTATGGTTATGGTTTATAATCCAAACCACTTGTTCCGAACCGATTCAAAATCGGTTCTAAATGAGTTTTGATTTTAATCTAAATTATTTAGTTAAATTTTAATTTTATTTCCTTTAAATTATATCAATTCTTAAATTTAAATACTTAATCAAATTTAATAAAGTTTTAAAATATTTTTTCTTCGAAATAAAAAAAAACATTTTAAAAAACAATTGGTTTATATTATGTGAAAATTGAATGGGTATTGTAGTTATAATGGTTGTGTTGATTACTGTTATGTAATTGTCATAATAAAATTAATTCAATCAACATAATATTTTCTTGGTTATGCGTGAATTCTCACCAATTTTAATAGTCACTATGCAGAATAAGCTACAAATAATTTGTAGTAATAGAATTAACTTTTTTTCATTTTGAAAAACAAAATTTTGAATTTTTTGTAAATTTTTTTTTTATGAAATTAAAAAAATTAACTTTAAAATAGTTAAAAATATAAAATTGATTTATAAAGTGTATATGAAAAAACATGAAAAGAGACAAACATATCAATTTAACAAATAATGAAATTTGGATATCCAATACATAAACCACATTATTATTATGGAAGTCAATTTATATTTGGATAACAAAATGGATAACCACATTTATATTTTAGCATTTGGTTTGGATTTTTAAAAGTGGAACAATTTGGATACTAATTTGGTTAACAATAACCGGTTTTTTTGCACATCCCTAGAAAGAAGTATCATAATGTGATGATGCACTAAATACCTACAAGTCTAGATTAATGACCAAGAGTGTTTTAAACAAAAAAAATGTGTTTATCATTTGACACATATGCACTAGTAGCAAGCACAATGAAAATTAAAGCATCTTTGACATTAGCTTTGCATAACCATATAGTTTCTGCAATGGATGTCAAAATAAATTTTCTAAATAAAGACCTTGATGAAGAGATTTACAAGGAGCAATTAGAAGGTTTTGTGAAAATGAACAAAAGGTGTGCAAGTTTGACAAATCCTTGTATGGATTAAAACAAGCACCGAAACAATGACATTAAAAGTATGACTCTGTCATTGTAAGATTCACCAATTAAGGGGATACACACAATTTATAGGAGACTTTTCAATCATTATCAAAATAAGAATTCAAAGAGATTGTCATCATCAAAAGGGGGAGATTGCGAGGAATACATCTTAGATATAATTCAATTTTGATGAAGACAAAGATTGTCAAAGAAGAAAAGGTTCAAAAATGTCATGCACATCAATGATGAAGTTGATCAAGAAGGTTTGACATATAAGTTCAAGTGAATATTTGAGACAAGTGGACATAAATAAGGTGCTCATTGCAATTTATACTATACCGCTTTAAATTGCTCATAATTTCATCTCTCACTTCATCTAAAACCTTTTTGCATTATCATGCATACCTTCTTCATTTGATTCTTGTTACAACTGTTTGTACTCAAAATTGTGTGAGAATATTGTGATATTAATTTGTCTCCATGTTGATGACACGATTGATCATTAGCAATGAGATGAATGAAATTTTAGAAACAAAGAGGTTTCTAACTTCCACATTTAAGATGAATGAGATCTTGGACTAGTTGACACACTTTTGGTGATCAAAGTAAAGCGAAATAGTGAGGATTATGAACTTAGTCAAACACATTATGCTGAGAAAATGCTTGATAAGTTGAAACAATTACGCTTTAAAGAATTGACCACTCAAGCTGATTCTAGTGTCAAACTTCAAAAGAATGATGGTAGAGTTATGACGCAATTGGGATATGTAAGTGCATGCAATGTACTAGACCTGAGATAACATTTGCAATTAGTAAAATGAGTAGATTTTACTAGCAATCCAAATGGTGAGCACTAGAAGGCCATCATTAAGAATTTTGGCTATCTTATGAAAATAAAAAATCTTGGTCTCCATTATGGTAGATTTCTTGCCATATTAAAATGATATACCGATGCGAGTTGGATACCGAGTGTTGAATATCATAAATTTGCATTTAAGTGGATATTTACACTAGCTGGGGGTGCAATTTCTTGGAAGAGCAAGAAATAAATGAAGGTCACTCTCTCAATCATAGAATCAGAGTTTGAGGCTCTTGCTTCCGCTGGTGAAGAAGTTGAATGGTTGAGGGACTTTTTGTTCGAAGTTCCATTGACTAAAGACAATGTTTCAGAGGTGTTGATACATTACGATAGTCAAGCCACTTTACCTAGAGCATACAAAAAGTGTATAACAGAAAATCTAGACATGTAGGACTTAGACATTCTTCGTGAGAAAATTGATTAAGGATGTAATCATTTTGTTCATATATGATCGAGCTATAATTTGCCTGATCCATTTACTAAATGATTGGCTAGTGATTTAGTAAAGACTACCTCAAAAGGTATGTGATTGAAACTCATTGAATAAGGGTTCCGACAACGATAACCACCCAATATGAAGTTAACAAACTTTAACCTAAAATTCAATGGGTAACAACAAGTCAGTGATTTAGATATTTGTGCAACATTATGTGACAATGTTGACTATTACATATTGAGGGTTGAGTTTTTTCAAACTCTTAATGAAGTTCTCTATCAAGGATATGTATCTCAATAAATAGATATAAAATGAACTTCACCTATAAGAATTTAGAGATGATGCCATCTCACAGTGAGAGTTGGAGTTTCTCTCATGAAAAATTCAAGAAAACAAGAAAAGCACATGACCATAAATAGTGTTAGGCGAGACATGTATGCGAAGAACCACTAAAGAGTGTGTGTAAGGTAACGTCGATTTAATCAAAAGGGATAACGCTTCAAATCATTGCTACTTAACATTTCGACTAGACTCTGGGTTATCCTTACTAAGGTTAAGTTCAAATCGAAAGATACTTAACTATATTAACATTATTTGTTTCTCCTTTTCTAGAATTTGTCTTGTCATTATTATAACAAGTGAGAGATTGTTGTAAATTATTAACAATTAATAATCTTAAGTGTGTTCCAAATTGACAAGTAAATATGCAAGTGAAAGTTAGTTTTTTAATTCAGAAATAGGTAACACTTGTGAAATGTTGCAGTAGGCAGTTTGTATTTTGAATATAGAAATAGGTAACACTTTGTGAAGTGTTGCAGAATGCGAAACAATATAACCTTTGAAAACTGTTGTTTTAGGCGAAATAGTGCAACATTTAGTAAAAATGATGTTGTAGGCGAAACATTGTAACGTTTGAGAAGTTCAGTTGTAGGCAAAATGATGGAAAATTTTAAAAAAGTATTGCGAAAGTGTGTGTTTTATCAAGGGTCGCAACCTTATGAAACAACACCAGTTTGACTTATAAACTAAGCATTTCAAATTCAGCAAAACAATTAGAAAAACATATCATCTTCACAAAAAATTCGAATTTCATCTTTTCTACATTCGAGTTTTCATTACTCTTGTGCAAACTCAAATATAAGTTGCATTATCTTGATTTCTGCGCAGAAACTCTAAGAAAAAGTGTTTGAAATTTTAACCTCGATCCATTTAATTTATAATTTAATTTTCTAACAATTTTATATTTTTTATAGTTATATATATATATATATATATATTTATTTATTTATTAATTTATTATCATTTGTTTCATTAATTAGTCTCTTTCACTAACTTCTTATTGCTAATTCATACTATTATACTTTAAATTATTGATTTAAACTAAAATACTTAGTTTTAATAATTCAACAAAACTTTTCCACACAATGTGTAGTAATTTATATTTATTCATTATTATACGAACATAAATTTAGTAAAATTGTGAAAAATAAAGTGCAGTTATTCGTGAAGACATTATTAAATGAACGTTATGTGCAATGTTTAGATTTAAAATTATGGAATATCATTGTTTTATCTATTAAGATTTAGCGGCAAATTTATTTGCCATTTAACAGTGAATCTACCGTGTAGACCTTGATTGGCGACGCCGTAGCTTCCGATGGCGAATCACTCTCTCAACGGCGGAATACGACGGTATGACACCCTATTCAATCCTTTCTTCTCTTTTCGTCTACTCACGATGAACCATTTCACAGCAGCATCAGTTTTGTTTTGAGCGCACGCAATATCTGGATCCAAGCAGAATCTCGCGCTTCTGCATTTCCAGAGGAACAGAACCTGAGGAGCCTAATTGCTGGATTCAAACCTCCAAGTCGGAGTCCATTGCCGGTGCTTCAGAATTGGATCGACCAAGGTAACAAGCTTTCACCCTCGGAACTCAGATGCATCTCCAGAACCCTAATAAAATCCAAACGCTACAACCACGCTTTCGAGGTTCGATTTTTCTATATCTGTTTGTTATATTCATGCAACTTGTAAGATTCAAAGTTCTAAAGTTGTTAATCAGATCAAATTGTGAGTTTTCACCACTTAGGGTTTATATTTGGATTGTGGTGGCCAACCGCCCCATGACACTTTCCACGATTGACTGCTTATAGCTTTGCACAACCAACTGTAACTGACCATTGGTTCTTTTAATCTCTGTTGCAATGTGATTTTATAGGTTTTATAAGACAGAGTCTATTCGATTCGTCTAGCTATTTAAATAGGTTAGTTATTCTCTTGCACAGGTGTTGAAGTGGATGGAAAACCAAAAACAATTCCGTCCAAATCCAGCTGATCATGCTATGAAAGTGGAGTTGATCATTAAAAATTATGGACTAATGGAAGCTGAAGAATATTTTATGAGTATACGTGACTCAGCTGGAAAGAAAGCTGCGTATCTCCCACTTCTACGTGGCTATGTAAGAGACAGGGACACCAGTAACGCTGAGACTTTCATGGAGAAGCTCTATGAACTGGGGCTGGTTGTTAACCCTCACCCTTATAATGAGATGATGAAACTATATCTTGCAACATGTGAGTACCGGAAGGTACCCCTTGTTATCCAGCAAATGAAACGAAATAAAGTACCCTGCAATGTTCTGTCCTACAACCTTTGGATGAATGCTTGTAATGAGGGAAAAGGATATGGGGTTGCAGCAGTGGAAACAGTTTTTAGAGCAATGCAAAATGATGAGAATGTTGAGGTGGGATGGAGTAGCCTTGCTACTTTAGCCAATGCTTATATGAAAGCAGGACAATCTGAGAAAGCCATTTTGGTTCTCAAAAATGCTGAAGAGAAACTATCTACCCGTGACCGCCTTGGTTACTTCTTCATCATAACACTATATGCCTCTTTGAAGCAAAAGGAGGGAGTGTTGCGGTTGTGGGAAGCCAGTAAGGCAGTTGGTGGAAGAATCAGTTGTGCTAACTACATTTGCATACTAACATGCTTGGTGAAGCTTGGGGACATAGCACAAGCCAGGAGAATCTTCAATGAATGGGAGTCTAATTGTCTGAAATATGATATAAGAGTCTCTAATGTTCTTTTAGGTGCATATGTGCGGAATGGATTGATTGAAGAAGCTGAATCATTACATCTTCACACATTGCAGAAGGGTGGTTTTCCAAATTACAAGACATGGGAGATTCTCATTGAAGGATATGTCAAGAGGCAAAAAATGGACGAGGCTATTATTGCCATGAAAAGAGCTTTGGCTATGTTGAAAGACTGTCATTGGAGGCCGCCACAAGGACTTGTATTAGCCATAGCTGAGTATTTGGAGAAATGTGGTAATTTTGAATATGCAAACGAGTACGTCACTGATATTCATAATCTAGGTCTTGGAAGTTTATCATTGTACAAAGTATTGCTTAGAATGCACCTTTCTGCTAAAAAACCACCTCTACATATCCTTAAAATGATCAATGAAGACAAAGTTGAGATGGATAGTGAGACATTTACCATTCTTAAAGCCTTCACTGGGTTGGTAGCATAAAATCCCTTGGGATTTGTTGATGTTCGTTACAAGATGTATGTTGTCTCCCTCGGAATAATTCATGTCCTTTGTACATGTTCAGGCTGGTGTGTTTGGAGCTGAAGCAGTAATCTGGAAGTCAACTTTTTCATCCGGTGAATATTTCTTAACTGACAATTTAATTTGTTTTCATACTAATACCATTTTTAGGTGTTAAGGATTCAAAAAGTAAAAATTTTGCATTGATAAAAATGATTTTTTTTAACTTTTAAAAAATTGAACGCACGACTTTTAAGACATTATTCTATATCAAATTCTTTAACATGTGCCCTTAGGGAAGGCACTGTTAGCATTTTCCTTATTGAATTGAAAGTTTTGTCAATTGCAGATCCGGGTAAATAGACATTTGTTCAAATTCTGCTACGCAACATTGTTATAGTGCTGCTAAACCTGGCTAGCCACTATTTCACAATACTTTATACTAAATAGCATATCATAGTGCGATAGTGATTTGTTCGAGTTGTGCTATGCAATAGCGCTTTGGTGCTGCTGTAGCCACTATTTAACCACACACTTTATTGAACACAGAAACCAATGTGCAACATTGTCACACATGATTCAGAACGAAGACTTTGCAAAGATTAGCAGCTTACTAGAATCTACAATGTCTATATTCATATATTCTTTTAAGTGCCATTCAAGTTAAGAAGGAAGTAGCAATCTCTTTTGTAATTAGTATTGATGTTTGATTGCCCTAATTCTCAAAATCATAGTAATATGGTGTTCTATGAGTTTATGAATTCAGTATGGTTAACAATACCATAAATCTTGGTGATTATAGTTAAATTAGAGACAAGCCACTTCTTTTATCTTTGTTGATCTGTTACTCACAATTCTCCGCTAACTTGCAGAACAAAGACTGGCTCTCCTATTCCTGTCATACTTTTTATCGGCTGGTCAATTAAACTAAAAATTCCTAGAAGAAAGTATAACTTAATGGCTTTCTAGCTTTTGGTATATTTGCAGAATCTGCAAAAGATGGCCACCAACCAGCTGAAGAAAAATAATCTATAATTGGTATGAAATTTTGTTTGTCCCCAGTACCTTTTGTATTTACTTCTCTCTTTTTCTTCAAATAAGTTTTGTATTTCATTAGCTGGTAAAATCATGAATTCTAAAAAAAAGGTATCTTTTACTCGATCATTGGTGTTTGATATGTTTTTTGATGAAAAAATGTCAGAAATTAATGGTTCCATGTTAGTGGAGTGATTCAAACCCATACTGCCTTATCTCTCTAACCCTTATGATCCTATCCAAACCACCTAATCTCTGGTGCATTAGTAATATAAATGAACAAACCCAATCACATTAGGGCCATATTGATAGTGAGTTCTCTACTTCTCCTAAAGTTAGTCCCTCTTCATCTCTTCTATTTCCACAAAATACTAGCTTTTTTTTGTTTATTCATCCGTTCATGATTGGCGGTTCAGTGTTTAATGTTCAACCCAAGGTGCGGACCCAAATGGTTCTTCATAAAAGAAAAGGTGCAGATTCAAATGCAATACATTCAAAGGTTGTTTAAGATATTAGAAACTGGAAAGACAGCCAGAGACTTGCACCAATAGCCTACAGCCCTCTACTAAATTGGGAAACCGGGTTTGGAGGACACCATGGCTACTCTAGATTGCCACTGCAAAGCAGTGTATTTTGTTTGGGAGGCATTCTGATTTGCAAATTGCTAAAGACAATGCTTATTTCTGGTTTAACTTTGAAAACACCAAGCATATGTTTGCTCCAAAAGAACTCTAGTTTCTTTGTGGCCAACCATTTGTTTGCAATGAGTCATCATTAAAACAAACATTATATATAATAGTACTGACAGTTTTTTTGTTTTTCTAGTTTATCATCATGCAAAATATTGCTTAGGATGAACCTTTTTCTTCTTGCTGCGAGTCGTAAGGATCATATAACAGTTGAGCCGGCAGTTGCAGAAATTTTGGCCGATGGAGTTTGCAATTGGCTAAGCACAGCTTAGCCTCGAGAAGGTCTTGGTCCAATCTGATGCATTGGGTGCAGTGGACTGTATTAATTTGATTCGTTCTAATGTTAACCTAGATATTATTGCCTCTGACTGTAGACAATTGCTTGAGAATTTTAGGACAGGTTCAATTATGTTTCTTAGTAGAACTTGTAATTTGGATGCCCATAATCTTGTGGATCTTGGAAAATTGTATGGCTCCAAAACTTGGATCGGAGGGTTTCCTGTGACTTCCCTCTTTTTCTTCTTCAGTTTAATGAGCTTAGGATAAACCTTTGTAATGATAAACTGGCCTCTTCCATCTTCAAATAGTGGAATAATGATTGCACTCTTGCTGTTTTTGTGGCATTTAACATATTGATAAAGTGGGTGACATCTCATTTACATCACAGGAAATTGTAATTTTGCCTTTCTGTGCTTACCTGGCTAGTTTAGGCACGAGTGTTTATTTACGGCAATTGCACCGCTCAGATATCATAGACACATGTCAAACATGAACAAATCAGTAACATATCGCATGGTTTTGAAGTCGCAGAGAAACCCATGAGCAGCATGGAAATTCCAAAATGTTATTCATGTGTAAGAGATATATCTCCTGACACATTACATTAAAAATTACACCGACTTTCGTCTTTTTGAGATCCATTCCATTTTGGAAGGAAAAAAAACGTTTGGAGATGCATCTTTGTATGACATTTTTGTGTAACCGGAGATGCATCTTTGAAATACTTTTTAGATTTAATTATGATTTTTTTATTCTCAACATTTGGTATTTTTTTAGGCTAACATATTTTAGGTCATTTTAGCCCAACATATTTAAAAAATGCATACATTAATTGATTTAAACTTATTCAATTATGAAAAAATTCATACAATTGTCAAAATTGGTGGACAATACATAAGTTGTTTTGAAAATACAAAATAATATAACCAAATAAAAATCCTACTGAGATTATCTAACATCCCGCCTTCTCCTTCCCTTGTAATGTAAGGTATTTCGTGTCTTAGCAATCATGCTTTCTACGAGGGCTAACTAGGGATTAATTTTCTCAAAAAGTCATGTCTCTATGCTTGATCTTCATATCTCCATAATACATCGACAAACTATCGACACGTCTTCGGTATGGTCATCCCTAACCTCAAATACTTTCTGATTAGCTAACTTAGGTGGTCTTCTAGGGGTGTATGGTGTCATGGTAGGGTGTGAAACCTTATAGAGTCATGTCATGTAGGCGTATGCACAAGTTCAATGTATAAGAGTTGGTATTCTGCAATACTCCTCTGGTATCAGATAACTCTTAAATTCGTTAAGTATCACATCGAGATCTCTGTGGTGGATATTGGGAGGAGCGGATTCTGATGGGTGTCTCAGAATAATTTGCATATAGCCAAACTGACGCATCACTCGCTCGGGTAGATAAAGATACATAAAACCTGACTCACATGTCAGCCATGTGGAGTATAAGGGGATGATGTCCAGTTCACGCTTCTCGCCATGACTCTTGTATGGGCAGAATGAAATGTCGTCTGGTACATAACAGTCAAGATACACTTTAAATGGCTCAATCATTATATTCCCCTTGTACGTAGTAAATGTGGCAGCACGTGGCCAATCCTCTATGTAGGCAGACATAACTTCCAACTCGGTGATGCGAGGAAAGTGGAAGATGATCCATCCCTGAAAATGGTTCATATACAATATTAATAACATATGTAACAAATGAATTATGAAAATATTAGTAGTAGTAAATTACCGTAAGCAACGTGTAACTTCCTATCACCTACTTTGTCTTTCAAAGACAACCTTCGCCCAGCTTCGAGTACAAGTAAACCAAACAGATGGTGCCCTAGTTGTACTCATGAATTATCATCAAGTCGATTAAGTACTTAAGGTAGACCACATCAACATATGTTGCACTTATTGTTGAAACAAGTTTGTGTCATACCATGCATCCTCCAAGGTTTTGATGATAACAAAGTATTTGAAAAAACAATTAGGATTTCTAACTAGCTAGTTTGTGTACGCAAAATTATATTTACTTGATGGAACCGATTCTGATACTGAAACATCTTTGGTTCGGTTTTGATCATGCTGTATTGAGGTACTCTGATCAGAAAAGCATATGCTAGTACACTCCAGCTCAGAAGCGTGTTATGCTGCCTCTGATGCTGAGTAATGTCAAGTCAGTTCTGCTAACACGTGACTCAAGATTTATTGACATTATCTTCTACAGGTTGTGTTTTACTTCAATCATAGTTGTATCCTCTGGACAAAGGCATTGTTTCGTGGATATTCTTCTGACTGAAAGTTCCAAGACCTGCTTTATTGGAAAAGAAGATGTACTAGAAGATTTGGTTTGTTTGTAGCCGTTGAAGATTCTCCAACGTCTCTATTTTCTTTGGCTATAAAAAGCAGCTGAAGAATTGAAGATTAACTAAGAAATAACGCTGCAAATACAACTGAGAAATACACACACTACTTTCAGAAAGCTGAGTCTGTTAAGAGTTCTTATTCTTGTGTTGATTAAGAATCTTTGTAAAAGCGTGTTGTATTATTTTTGAACACCTCTGATATTTATCAGGTGTTGTTATAAATTATTCCTTCTCTAAACTATCTGTTTAAATTTAAGTCTCTTGTTGTAGGCTTGAGAAAGGTGAAGTCTTAGACACAAGCTCTAAGCAAAGGAAGTCTTAATTAGAAGCTGGTTAAGCAAAGTGAAGTCTTAGACACGAGATCTAAGAAAAGAAAAGTCTTAATCAGAAGCTGGTTAAGCAAGGGAAAGTCTTAGAAACAAGACCTAAGCAGAGGAAAGTCTTAGACACGAGCTCTAAGCAAGGTAAAGTCTTAGGCAGGTGGTTTAAGCAAGGTAAGTCTCGGTTAGGAGCTGATTGAGCAGAGAGAAGTCTTAGACACGAGATCTAAGAAAGGGAAGTCTTGGACAAGTGGTCTAAACAAAAATAAAAGTCTTATACAAGTGTGTAT